TAAGTTGCAGTCTTGAATACAACAGTGTTATCCAAAGAAAGAATTTTTCTGACAAATATATAGCTTTACTAATGAGTACGGAACAATTGGGTCAGAGTGTGCATGTACTGAGGTCTTAAGTGAGGACTCTGATTTATTCCACTTAGATATTTCTACTTAAACTCTTTAAAGGAGAGGTGCTCTTAAAATTTTGCGGTGCTGGATTTGAATGAGTTTCTAGTAAAAACATTTTTGTTGAAGTATTTTGCACAGCAGTTTATCCAAATATGTGGTAAACTTATAATTTAGTCCTATGTTAGTTTTCTTAATTAAATATGCAATTATTATGTAAGCAAATGTAAGTATCAGGTACAGAGTTGAGTTCCATCAGAACATGAAACATCACAAATACTGGTTTCTGTACTTGGTTGTTCTCTACAGTTGTTAGTAATTTTTGAAGACGTTTTGAACCGAATTTCATGTACTACTGTTTAAAAAGTGGCAAAACAGACTGCCAGTTGTCCATTACTAAAATTTCAGAGCTTATATGATTAAGGGGAGTGAGATAAGATGAATCTTTTTCATGTTCAGTTTTATAATTAGACAAGTCAAATTGTGTTTAAAAAATCAGAAAAGTGTTTGTGATCACCACACAGGGTTGTTCTCTTTAAAGTTTAAATCTGTTCAACCTACAGTTAAGCTAAAAATCAATTATGTTTACTTTGGAATTATCATCTTATCCTTTGATCCTCATATTAATATCTAAATTAGTCTTTTTTGAAAGGCATGCACTTGAAACTCCAGTATTAGATGATTCCGGCAGCAGAATAGTGTTTATTTCTGTTATGTTGTTTCCTATGCACAATGTTAGAACAAAGACACACTCTTTGTTTTTCAAAATACATGTTTATTTTACCACAAAGTGCCCATTTTTATATACATTTAAGGATTATTTTTTCAATATCAAGTTCACGTTGGAAAGTGATTTCAGAAATATAGTCAAAATATATAGTCAAATATATCTTGACAGGCATCTTGAGATTTTTTTGGTTTTTTATTTTACTATATTCTTTACAACTGAAAATGATTTTGTGTTTTCTTTATATTGTTTATATGTTTTTTACCTTAGTATTTGCAATGATAAGGCTTGTTGGTCCATTTTTGTTCATTTTCTTAAAGTAAGCTTTTAGATATATTCGTTTTAATGTTTCAATTTGGGTTTTGTTTTGTTTTGGAAGAATCTGCTTTCATTATTAAATTACAAAATGTAAAATATAAATGCTCTAAACTTGAGTAGGAATTTTTTAAAGAGTAAATTATTCGTGTAGCTTATTAGGAGGTTCAGGTTAGTGACCAAAAGGTGGGTTACATGTACATGAAAATTTTTAAAGGTACCATATGAAATTCTTGTATTGTCACTTTTTCTGATTTATGCCAGTTCATTTACTGACAAATGTTACTAAGTACTTATTAAGAAGTTTAATACTCTGCAAAAACATTTTGTTACTTTTTGTTCAGATGTAAAGCAAAGATAATTATGTTGTTTCAGTGTTTGATTGTATTTTTAACATTAGATTGGTGGGAGTAATTATTTGAGGAAGTTTGTGGTGAAAATTAGTAAGAGATAAAACCCTCACACCGTTTATTCTTACCAGGTAAAATTTTGTGGTCATGGGGTAGGGTAGAGTTTAGTACCAGAATAATAGAGCCTCACACACAATAAAAATAACTTGGAGGAAAGCTATAATGCTTGCATCTCAGTATTTTTATTTCACTTCGTCCTTTCATAATTGACCTTGTTATGATGCAGTCTAGCCTATTAAGTAACTTCCGGCTATGGTAACATTGATGTGAACCATATTACAGCAAGTCTCCAAAATATCTAGTTTGTAACATACACTTTCCCTGTTTTAGTTTGAGTCCACATTACTAACACATTTTAATAATATTTAATTATTTCACAATTTTAGGTTTACCAAAGTAAACAAAAAAATCATGAAGATAAGTATTGCCCTCCCCAAAGATTAGTTGAACTTGCCTCAACTACACCTAAAGCACAGGGGAATTTTAGTAAGTGTGTGTACCTTATTTCTTTTAAACACATCTAGAATGTTTTTCTTTCACCCTACTACCTCCAAAAGAGGCAGTTTAGAAAGTATTCAGTAGTAAGTTTTGTTAAATGCCATTTTGTGTGTGTGTGTGTGTGTGTGTGTTTGAGAGAGAGAGAGAGAGCGCGCGTGAGAATCTTGCTTTAAAACAGTAGTATATACTATAGTCATTGAACTTAATCTCTCTGGTGTTAGAAATTTACAAAATTGTATTAACACATTAGAAAAAAGAAAATGAAGCTGCTGTGGTAAAAACCAAGTTTGTTTCAAAAAAATAGACAATTATTTGGCTGTTATATTTTCTTTGAAAACTGCAATAATTTATATATTTGTATTGCTCTGCTTTGGAAGTGTAACTATATATGCTTGTCTACTATTTTTAGTTTTACAACAATAAAATAAATATTTTGTTACCTGCTAGCTTGAGTGGATGTTTTAAAAGTAGCCTTTTTTTAAAAAATGGTGGGTCAACATGAAGGGTTTTTGCTCTGCAGGTTTAGTAAGTCTATACTTAGAATGATCTTATCTGACAATTTCTTAATTTCTTGTTATAATCTTACCTTATCTCTGATACTTAATATTCTCTCTCCCAATACAGAAGCAGGAAATAAGATGCCTGGACTTACTAGATGTGTATGCAATTTTTTTAATTGGGTTGTAATTCATACACAGTAAGCACTGGTGTTTAACTGTATTGCTTGAGTTTTAACAAATGTATGCAACTGTATAGCCATCACTCTTTGGTTCCCTTCACAGTCACTTTATTAACCATTTCCCTTCCACTGATTGTTCTGATTTTGTTGTTGTCGTTGCCCATGCTGGAGTGCATTGGCACAATTTCAACTCACTGCAGCCTACACCTCCCAGGTTCAAGCGATTCTCCTGCATCAGCCTCCCGAGTAGCTGGGGTAACAGGCACACACCTCCACGCCTGGCTAATTTCCACATTTTTAGTAGAGATGGGGTTTCGCCATGTTGGCCAGGCTGGTCTCAAACTCCTGACCTCAGCTGATCTGCCTGCCTCGGCCTCCCAGAGTGCTGGGATTACAGGCATGAGCCACTGCACCCGGCCTGTTTGATCTTTATCACTGTACTTTGCATTTGCCTGCATTGAAAACTTTATATAAATGTAGTCATGCAGCATATGCACATTTGTTCCAGGCTTTGTTCTTAAAATTCATCCATGTTAGCTCAAAGATCAGTAACAGTTCATTTGCTTTTTTTTTTGGCTGACTAGTGCTCCTTTGTATGAATATATTATAATTTGATTATTCACCTGTTGATGGACCTTTGAGTTGCTTTTAGTTTGGGGCTTATATGAATATTTTTAAAATGGCTTTAAAAAGTATTAAAATAGGAATACAACAGTATTCAAGGTCACTTTTAGTATTATGAATCTGAATATTACCAGTTTTTTTTTTCACAAACGATTTTTAAAGTGATTTATATGATGTTTTTATGGCAACAAGCGGTTTAGGAAACAAAGATGATTTTACAAAAGATCAGAGGCAGATTACAAAATAAGGACTGCTTGAGCATTGAAACATTTCATGGAGTAATAGAAAAATCTGTTTTATTTGAAATTCTCTTCAAAGTCTAATAGTCATACTGCTTTGATTCTCAGGAGAGGAAATGGAGACCAAGAGTCTTGTTTGGAAAGAGTACCAGACCACAAATGAAGTTATCCTGTTTACCTTAAACTAAGTGACATTAAGAGAAATTCACTGTCACTTTTCTAAGCCTGAATTCATTAGGCTTTGTTCATACTCAGTTTCCCAACCTTCCTGGGAATTTTCAAACTATTTGTAAAACGGTTTGCTCTCCCCTAATTTTTAATGTCATTATAAGACCAGAAATTCTTTGCAGGTCTTAGAGGCTGACAAGTCTTACATGGGTGATGGATAGAATAGGAAGGGGAGCTGCAGGTAGAGCAAGGCCTGTTTTATATAATTTATATATTAATACTCTAAATTCATAAAATGCTGTTTGAAAGGTTTTGCTTTTAGAATCTGACAAAAGTGATGTGTTGGATCCTTGCAAGTTTATGTCTTTGAGTTTTATTTTCCATATTTTTTTTTTTTTCGGTTTTGTGGTTGTTTTTGCTGTTCTTCCACATCTGAATCCCCTTCTAGTGTTTGGATGGCACAAGTAACCTTCAACTTTAAGAAGCAAAAACTTCAAACACCTGTGTATGTGAGGTACCTCACGCTGACTGGTGAAACAAAGAAACTGGATAGGGGAAGGTCTGTGTTGAGGGCATCAATGGCTAACTATCAATAGGGACAACAGTCATCATCCCATATCCAGTAGGGACAACAGTCATCATCCCATATCCAGTAGGAACAACAATCATTGTCTCATATCCAGTAAGTACAACAGGTAAGCTCCTGACATCTGGTGTTTGAATAGCCAATGCCTTGTGGCATTGGACTCTGATCCTAGTAGTTGATTACATCACCTTTGTTCCTGCCTGGTTTCCCAGCCTTCTGGGTGATCTCTTCCCATTGTGTAAATTCCTTTATAGCCTAAGTCAACTAGTTGCTTTCTCTAGCTTGCAACTCAGAACTCTTGTGAAACCTAACCTCTTTCACTGGGTCTATGTCCTGTGTTCTACTCTGAGATCTTATGAAATCGGTTTCCAAAAGTGAACTTCTAAGAGTCAATACATATCTAAACTATCCCTCAGCCATATGGGCTGCCTGTAGAGTCAACTGAATCTGATGGGAAGATCCTGAAGAGAAGTTAAGCCTCTTGGTAATGCAGATGTCAGTTTTTCTGTTAAGAATGTGCTTTGGGACAGGCACGGTGGCTCATGCCTATAATCCCAGCACTTTGGGAGACCAAGGCTGGTAGATTGCTTAAGCCCAAGAGTTTGAGACCAGCCTGGGCAATGTAGCAAGACTCTGTACAAAAAATTTAAAAATTAGCTTGGCATGGTGGCACAGGCCTGTAGTCCCAGCTACTTGGTGGGCCAGAGACTGAGGTGGGTGGATTGCTTGAGCCCAGGAGGTCAAGGCTGCAGTGAGTCATGATTGCACCACTGCATTCCAGCCTGAGTGACAGAGCAAGACCTTGTCTCAAAAGAAAAAAAGGAACTGCTCCAAACCATAAACTGCCCTAGAATTTACTTCCCAAAAAATATGGTAATCCTACTTTCCTGCTAAGAGACCTTTCAAGATTATTACTGCCTAAAAAGTAAAAGCCAGTCCCCACAGTTTAGCATTTAAAGCCTTCACCATTTGGCATCTACTTATTTTCCATTTTAAACCTTTCATCAAATTTCAGATTAGTTATGTGCCACAAACTCCACCAAGCCCTGTAAGTCTTTGGGTCCAAGGGATATAAAAGCCAACAAGATTCTGTTGGTCACCTGGAAAGTATTCTGCCAAGAGATTAAAAAAATAAGGCTCGAATAATGTTTATTGTATTTAGCCACCAGAAATTCATGAAGTACAGTTTTGATGGACCCGTGAAAGCAAAAGTAGATTACAGCAGATGGATGCAAGCTAGTACCGCGACTTGAATGTGTTCCCTAAAGTTCATGTGTTGGAAACTTAATCCCAAAAGCAACAGCATTGAGCGGTGGGTTCTACTAAGAGGTGATTAAGTCATGAAGGCTTCTGTCATGAAGCAACATAAAATAGATTAAGACAGGTAAGATAGTACATTTGCAGTATGATCTCTTTAAAAAGTTTATGAAGTGAAGTTGAGGCAAAGAAGATGTTGAGTCCAAGGTTATTTATTTAAAGTTCAGTACTTAAACATGAACAAATACTAAGAGGACAGATCCAGTGAAAAGGCTAACAATAGGTAGCAATTATCAAAGGAATCCAGTTTGAAGAGACAGAACAGAGTATCATACCAAGAATAACTTGTCTTTGAAGAGGTTTAGGGTTACCACAGGTTTTGACACTAGAGAGAAGATAAAACTATAGATGAACATATCTGAGCTAGAGTTGTTGGAGAGTAAGTTGAGAAAGTACTTAAATAGCTACCTCTATTTTCTATGAGGAAAAAGGAAAAGATAATGAGGTCAGAGACTTAAGGGAAATGGTGAAATGCTGAATAGCTACCACTTGAGTGAGAAGAGTCCTGACCATCAGAGGAGGGGTTTAGAAGAGGTGGAAATGAGGAACCATGACGCACCATTGGTTGAGGTTGCCTGAATTTGCATTCGGATTTCGTTGCTGTAAAGAAGAGGTGCTTGGAAGAGGGAAAATGAGGCACCGTGACTGTTGAGGAGAGGTGGAAATGTTGGACCATGACTCACCACTGGTTGAGGTTGTCTGAATTTGCATTTGGACTTTGTTGCTGTAAAGAAGAGGGAGTATTTTTGAAATGGGAGTAAACTAAACAAAGCACTACTGAAAATAGATTCGAATCTGAAACTGAGATAAATTTATAGCTCAGAAAGAAAACTTACAAAAATGCTCACTGATAGATGAAATTTCAAGTGTGAGATAAATGGGAAATTTAAAAAGTTGGGCATGTGGGAAAAATATGAATACTCTAGTCTTGACTTGTTTTTTTCAAGCAATAATTTTATTTGTTCTCTCAGTATTTGGTACAATAGCAAGGGTAGACTAAGACTCTGTTGTGAAGGTCAAGCCCTTATAGGTCAGTTGGTATCAAGCTTCACCAGAAGGAAGTGAAGAAATCTTTGACCTAGATGAGGAGAGGTTTATAAGAGGATGGTCAGTACCATGTACGGAATGTTGAAGAAAACCATAGCATAGCTAACACAAGAGTTTCAGATCTGTAACTTCAACGCAGAGAAAAGGCAGCGTGAATAGAGAAGGGCCATTCTACAGGAAAGAGGCAACTGAACTGAAAATTGATGAAGGCGGAAGAAGTTGTAATGAGCAAGGTGATTACTAAACCCACATGCAGGAACTTCTAATCTTCCACAACTAAGCACCTCTTTACCTCTCTTAGCCTCTTTTCTCATCTGTAAAAAATGAAATTGAACTTTTTGATCTTTAAGGGACCTTCCAGCTCTAAGTATAATGAATTTTAAGAAACCTACAGTGGAAAATCTCCCAAGCCCCAGTATGAACAGCAGAGCTGAGTGGAAAGGGCACCAAAAAAAAAAAAAAAAAATGTGGTTTGATTTTAAGTGGAAACTGTGAGGTGCTGTTACAGCAAGCTATTTCTGTGATCACCTGTGACAAAAGAGAAAAGAGGGCTGACTCAGCCTGGCTCCTGTTATAAGCAGCTACACAATCCTCTGCATACTGTTTAAGAGCATCTATGTCGTAGAAAGAAAAAGAGGTCTATATATTTTGGCATCTTTTTACTCTCACATTCTCATGTCAGGGGAAACTATTGGGAGAGAATGTTCTCTTAGGAGTAGCAGTGGGATGGTTCTCCCACACAATCAGAAGTTGGGTCACCTCCAGCACAGTTCTTAAAG